GTTTGCATCACCAGTTTTCCAGGCAGTTGCAGGCCCTGGCGTGGGAGGAGAACTGGCACAGCTTGCTCTGGTAATGAGAGCAGAAATTGAGAGGAGTTAGGGAAACGGGGCCCTGCAAACCTTAGCACTTGTGCACCTCTGTGACTTGCTAAACAAGTGCTCAAAACCTTTGTTTAGTAACTTGACGCTTGGGTATTTTTTCTGTGGAGAGCAGATCCAGGGTTTGGGAAGTAGGTGTGAATTAGGACACACTGGCGCTACACCCTCTGAGGAAAGCACTGAGAAAGAACACAAAAGTAAAGCATCATGGGATGAGTAAAGATACTGGGCAGAGGGAAACCCAGTGAGGCCCTAGAAGCCTGGAAAAGAATATCCAAGGCACTGTGAGATGGAGATCAGATGTGCAAGCTAGACCAGCCCCCCTGCCTTGTTCTCACAGAGACTGATTCAGTGCTGCAGCTCCCCACCATATTTCATACAAATTCTATTGTGTAATAATTAACATATTTATGACCCTATGTGGCCAAAGCTGCCTGTTCCTATTCCTGTCTCTCCTGGAATTGCCTGGAGTCAGTAAATGTGGCAGATTGGAGCAGGCCTGAGGTTTAGCTACACAAGCTGGACAAGTATCCCGTGAAAAGTGCACTAAATCTTGCATTTTTAACCTTAGATTTTTTTCATCTCTAATGGAGAGTGGCTAAACTTCTGATGCAGGAGCTGTAATACTCAGTTGTGGAAATTATTGTAATTGTGGCATTTCCTTATAACTGAATGTTGGACATGGCTTGCTTTGTGTTGGACTGCTGTAACCCTGAGCAAGTGGGATGAAGTCTAGAGGCTCTTTAGTTTGGAAAAATTCTAAGAAGCTTCAGGATGACTTAGATTGGGGTCTGAAAACATCATGGGAAGGAATCTGAACTGCTGAGATGGGGAGAGCTTAAAATGAAGTGATGGCTGTCAGGGCTGGAACTGGGATGAGATCTGAACTCTGCCTTCCTAGTCACACCCACTGAGTTACATTCCTGCAAGAAGGGCAAGTGAAAGGAGGGGAAGTGAAGGGCTGCACAGAGCAGGTGCCAGAAATGGCCTCTGGTTCCTGCTGGCAGGAGCAGAGCTGGTCTCTGCAGCTGGGACAGACGTGTGGTGTTTGAGGAGCCTCCAGGAGAGCCTGACAGAGCTGTCAAGTGGGAACATGTCACACACAGTGCAGATGCTTGGCAGGCTCTGGCTTATGGAAACTTGTGGATGGTTTTTCCCCCTCACATGCACTTTAGACATAGCCAGATCCAAGAGAGTTTTTCTGGAGAAAAGGAACTAGTGAAATGCATAACAAAGGAAAAAGCTGTACTGTCAAGAGAGCTCACAATCAAGCAGGACAGAGCCAGGCCTCATTATTTTGCTGTGTTCCATATTTATCTTCCATTTATTCCTTTCCTGAGCACTTCATCTGATCATCGTGTAAGTCTAATGTGACAAGCTCACGACTGCACTATGGTGTTTCAGTTAGTTAATCAGCATGGAGAAATCAGTGAAACTTTTGGTGAAATCTTCAGTGAAATCTTAATCTACCTTAGAACTCATGTGCTGAGGCAACTCTTTTGCTGTTCTGTTGTTGTTCCAGGGAATTGATCCCACATCTAAGGAAAGAGGGATGATTATTTTTCAAGCTTTTTAAAATTTTTTTTTTCTTGTTAATAAATCTACTGTGAAGTTCAGGAATGGGTAAAACTTCCCAGCAGTCACAGTAAGAAAAGCCACAACTGAACTAAGTTCTTTTATTTGGCTGTGAACTTTCCAAAAGCTCAGGGTGGTTACTTACATCAAATGCACAAAGTGAGAATTCCTGTCTTTATAGACTTACAACTAAGAGCAGGATTTTTTTATTTTCCTGCACTTAGCTTGGAGCTGGGGAAAGCCCAAGTTGATCCTGACTTCTGACAGCTGTATAATTACAATCAGCAGCAGTTGCTGCCATAAGATACTGGGGCTAAACAGGAATTAGTGTTGCATATTTATCCAGAGGATGAAAATATCTACAAATATCTATAAATATACTCAGTTATTATTAGAAGTATATAAATCTTCTAGTGCTTGGGTGTCCCAGATATCAACTGATGGAAGGGAAACCTCCTCTTGTAAATGAGTCGCTGGGTAATTTTTCACCACAAGTTTTGCTTCTTCAGGGCAGTTTTCATGGGCAGGGTGCTCATTTCAGTTCAACTATTCATCTCATCTTTCACAAAACTTATTTCACAAGTGTAAATATTTGTGGCAACTTGCCTATGTTGTGTGACCTTTACACAATAACAGAAAAGCTCTGGAAGGCTGCCGATGTTTTAAGGCACATTCTTTAACAAAACTAATTAATCTAGGACTCAGCCAATGGTTATGTACATTTTTTATTTTTTTTTTTTTAAGGAAAACTACATTTGTTAACCCAAAATACTAGGTGGTTTATTTAATCAAATAAATGATACTGCAGGAATTTAATAATCTTAAAAGTAAATGTTGAAGTCTTTTAAAGTGAGTATGACCTACTCTCAGCACTCACAGGCTCCCTGTACCTGGCTTTGGGCCTTGCAAAAGTTAACACAGAGCTATAAAGCTGAAGCCTTCAGAACAGCTCAAAGCTCAGTGCTTGCTTTCACAAAATTTATAGCAAAAACCAACTGAATTACTTAGTAATGATCTAAAACTTCATCCTACCTTTTGCTGAGAGTCAATTTGTAATATTGCTGCAGTAAAAACCAGAAATCACACTTATTTTTAAGGGCAGGCTGGACCTCAACACATAATTCTTTTAGACTTGTATAGACATTATTTCACTTATAGTAATGCTTAAAAACCTTAATCTGTAGATTAAAAAAAGGTTAAGGCTGCAAATTTTAACCGGAATGAATGGACTAGAAGAGAGTAGATAGAAAGCTCAGGATCTGAGCACTGAATTTAACAGCTCTTTAGTTTCAGGTTGATACTGTGCTGGAGATCTTGGCAGATACCAGGACTACAATGCTGGGGAAAAAAAGGTGATTATTGCTGGTGTGTGTCAGACTTCTGGATATTAGTATTAGAGGGGGAAGTCCTGAGCACTAACCTGGACTAAATTGTGAGTTAGTAGAAAAGGTTATAAGAACCGAGCACAAGAGATGTGGCAAATGCAACAGAAGCGGTGACGTGTTCCATCTTTCTGACCCTACACAGCACTGAAATTTCAGGCTGAGTTCCCCAGGAGACTTATGCAGAAATTGATCTGGAACCAACATACTGAGTGTTCCAGACTTGTGTGCAGCTAACAGAGGCTCCTCTGTCCCTTGGGCACTGGTCAAGAATCCATATGAGGGGAGGAAACATCACAGAGAGAGACAAGAGATTCTGGGGCCAGAAGGGACAACTGGGGGAGAAAAAACTTTGGAAGGAAGGGAGAATTTGAGGGTGGCTTTGGACAATGGGTAGGACAGAGGAAGTATGAGAAATAAGCAGGGAATTTTGGTAAAAGGTTCCTTGGCTGATTGGTTGAATTTACGCTGGAGAGAAACTGGCCTTAGGTCAAGTCTGCAGTGCTTTTATGTGATTGCTCTCCCTCTGAGCATCCCAGAATGACAGCTGGGACAAGCACTTTGGCCTGTAGGCAGCAAACAAGAAAGGCATAAGAAATGTCCCTTCCAAGAGTAGTTCCCCAATATATCCTTTACATGCCTGTTCAGGAGTTGAGTCTTTTTTCCCTTTGGGCTCCTCTCTTAGGAGGTGAATAGGAAGTGTACCCACCTCCCTGTATCTGCAAATTTGTTTGAAAATGCTGCATCATCAGTTGTGGCACTTTTTTTGAGCTCATTTATTATATGGAAACCCTCCGGCTGTCCTTGGAGCAGAGCCATGTGCTACCAGGCCCTTGAAAATACGTGTTGATTAAATATGTAGGTCAGAAAGCACGTCCCAGTTATTTAGTAGATGGGAGTTTTGTTGCCTAGTGCTCTATCACTGGAGCTGCTGATCAGTTGAAAGTAATATGGTAATAGCTTTGTCTTAGCTCAGAGATGAAGGAACACCACCAGGTATTGCTTCCCAAAGGGCAGGTGCAGGTCATATAGGGGTAGAACTCAGGGGAATGGCCTTAAGATGGAGGAAGGCAGGGTTAGATAAGGAATTAGGAAGAAATTCTTCCCTCTGAGGGTGGTCAGGCCCTGGCACAGGATGCCCAAAGAAACTGTGGCTGCCCCATCCCTGAAAGAATCCAAGGCTAGGTTGGACAGGGCTTGGAGCACCCTAGGCAAGTGGAAGGTGTCCCTGTCTGTGGCAGGGGGTGGAATGAGATGGGCTTTAAGGTCCTTTCCCACGCAAACAATTTTGAGATTCTATGACTTAGTGGCATTAATAAATAAAAATACCTACCAGGGGATAAGGATGAGGAGTGCCCTGAGAGAAGATTTGCTAACAAGCAGCAGTCTTCAGAATCTCTCTCTGTTCTATAAACTGGCCAAACATAAACCGTAGTACTTCTCCACAGTCATATCAAACCAAAAAATAAGCCTGAAATCCTACTGACAGTTGTTGCACCCAAGCCTTCATTATGGCCCTATTTTCTTCCTCATCTTCCAGCCCTGAAGCAATCGGCCAGGGAGCTTCTCCTGGCTGGCTGGTTTGTGCTGACTGTCCTCCCCAGTTGTGGTCTCTGTAGCAGCCTCACACAACACTGAGTGAAATTAAAAATATGTCTGGGGCTGACTGAATCCTTCCTCATTAGCTCAGTGGGCAGCAGATTTCAGAGCTAGATTTGCAACACTTACTAGATCGTGTGTCTTCTGGGGATAGCTATTTTTTTTCATCATCAGATTCCATGACTTAGCAGCATCATTAGCTATTATTATTATTATTATTATTGTTGTTGTTGTTGTTGTTGTTGTTGTTGTTATTATTATTACATATATACTCCATTCAAAAGCTGCTTTTAAATTTTTTTAAGCCTGCTTAATCTAGGAGACTTTCTTTTCTCATTTACAGGGGAGTTTCGCACAGTCCTTCTGACAAGTGCAAGATAGCCAGTGGGAATGAGACCTGTAATTAATGCGTTGAATGCTCAGTGCAAGCAAAAGGCTCTTGGATGAAGAAGCTCTTCTGGGTCTGTCAGGCGTCTGACAAGAGGACAAACAGTGTTAGCTGGAATGGTGGAATCTGTGATATGTGATACATTTAATGCAAGGTATTGAGGACAGGAGGGAAAATTATGTCTTTCCCTATTCCCCTGAATTTTGAACAGTCACATGTCCTTGATTCTGCACTTTCTCAGTGAGAACTGATTTGCTGGCTTTCTAGGAACAAAAATTAATTGAGCCCAGTGTCCTGCCCCTTTTGTAGGTGTGCATGTGTTGAGGGGGTGATGTGTTAAAAGGGAGCAGTGAGAGCCTGAACTGTGGGAGGTCCAGATTCAGCTGGGGGGGGCAGGGTACCAGTGACAAATTTTATGAATGTGGTCACATATCCTCCTTGTGCTTTGGCTTGGCATCCATGAAAATAACTTCACAGATTCTGTGGTAAAATAAAAGCCCCTTGGGTGCTACAGTATTTGGGTGTCTTGTTGGTTTGTCACAAAATGTTAAGGGTGGTGGAAGCCTGGAGTGGGGATGGTTGTCCCTCTCCATTAAGTTCTTCCTTTATGTAATACTACTTGTTTCTCAGCTCTCTGGCTACAATGGTACCTGCCATTTCTTGCAATTTACTTTGCAGGCAGTTTTCCAACTGCCTCGTGTTCTTGGATCAGATACAATCCTTTTTGATTCCTGTTGTCCTTTTGTCTTTGCTCATTTGGCTCTAAACATTCTGTTCCCTGAACATGGGCCCAGGTCCTCCACTCTCCCATGCTGCAGCAAACCAAACACTGCTTCTGAAGCAATTAGTTAGGGAGCATTGGCACACACAGGGGGAATTAGGACTCTTGACAATTTTTTCCCAAGTTTTGTCAAGGATTCTGTACCACTTTTCCCAAATCTTCCCGTATTAGTTCCAGGACTGAGTGACTACACTTTGAGTGGTGATAGCACACATTGTATTTCCGGTTACCTGATCATCCTTCACTGCCTTGTAGTCACAGCACCAGCCACACCACCAGTGAAGCTGCCTGGCTCCTGCTGAACTCAGCTGGATGGATATCCCAAAAGCCAGGTATGTCCATGTTCCCAGGGCAGATAGAAACCTTACTTACTTGGTCATAAGACACTCAAAACATGAAGACTGGGGTGTCACTGGTACAGAATGGTGCAGAGTCTGCAGCAGGGCTGGCTCTCGAATCTGGAGGTAGTGTAACTTTTCTCTAGTCTCTCCCAGCCTCCTTTGGGCTCCTTTGGGAATTCTTTTGGGATCCTCTCTCCTGGGGAGTCTCACTTATCTCAGTTCTTATCATTCAAAGAAAACTCCCGGGTTCATTAAAATCTGTTTTCTTGTGTTTATTGAAGGATCCTTACAAAACTTGGCAGGTCTATCCAGACTGACTGCACAAGCTTAAATCACCACAGCCTGGCTCATTTCATCCTGATGATACAAAATGGCCTCAAACATGCGGTCTTTTCACCTTTATACTAATTTTTACCCTATTAACTACAGACACGTGTATTGTTATTCTATCTTAACAAATAAGTTTTCTATATCTACTCACGTAATTAAAAGTGTGACTAACTCTAAACCAATCATTCTTTGTGCTTCTAAAAACTGCAGAAGCATGGAGAAGAAGGAAGAAGAAGGATAAAAAACTACACCCTGTTTCCTCCATCTTTACTCCATGTATGAAATATAGATTCTAAAAATCTATATTTTAACTTCAGTGATATTTCTACGTAATTTCTTATGAATTTTGGTTTATTCAGGGCTATTTGGAAGCCTTTCTGTCAATATTATATAGTATTGATGTATTTTTTAAAGAATTGAATAGACAGAGAAATGTCTCTACATTTCTGGACTCCTACAGGTAGGACCTCTTTGAATGGTTTCCTAGCAGAGTTTGCCAGAAAGAAGGAAAGAAGTTACTTTCTTGATGTAAAAGCTGCTTTTCTATTACCTCTCCTGTTTTTCAGGGAACAGTGGAAGTGGAAAAAAATTAAAAATAATTAAGGTCTGAACAAAAATAAAAACTATCCCAAAGTCTTTGGTGTTATTTTGTCACAGCTTTTTTCAGACTGAGCTCCTCTCCTATTTTATTGTTATGTTCTGTGTAAAAAAGGGACAACCTCACAAATTTATTTGGGCTAAAATGCTTTTTTCAGTTACACTGTGTCACTTTGGTCCTCATCAGCACCTACCTGTCCTGGAAGTGGTTTGCATTCACCCAGCTGCTCTTTCCTTGGCTTTATGGCAGATGTTGCACCACTATCTCAGTCTCAGGCAAAAAAACCCAAAAAACCAAAAAACAACAACAAAAATCCAAACCACAAACAAATGCAGTAAGACACACACAAATAGGCACACAAAGAAAAGTAACTCTCAAGGCCACTTTGTATGGGGTTTGGAACAACCTAGTCCATTGGTAGGTGTCCCTGCCCATGGCAGGGGGTGGAACTGAGTGAGTTTTAAGGTCCTTTCCAACCCAAATCATTCTGGGATCCAGCAAAAGTAATCTGACTGCTGAGATGGGGCTGTGAACAGGCTTTGCTCTTCTCTTCTGGATTATGCCAGAATTTACACATGAGTTGAAGTGTTTGCCTGCTCAGGTCAGGGCCTATTTAGGTCTGTTCAAAACTACAGCAGATCCTATCCAAAAATTATTTACTTTAAGTTCTATTTAGCCTTAACAGCCTGAAAATATTTGTCATTTCTGGTCTCTTAATATTGCTGAGAGAGGAGCAAAATTATTAACCCTATTTTGTAAATGGCCAAAGCAGCAGAGATTGGCTGGAGTGGAGCAGGGACTCTAATCCCTAATTCTAAATTCTCTATTAAAACCCTAATCCCTGGGCTATCCTTCTGCTTCAGGCAGCATTTGAGATGGATGGTGTATAATTTATCTGAAGTGATGCACCTGCCACTGCTTAAAGCCAGTTAATTTCCTTCTGTCCCTGTGTTAAAGTTGCTTCTTTAATTACCAAATTAATTTTTTGCTGGAGTGATTAATAAATGCCTCTGCTTGCATTTTGTAGGTCTCTGTCTGAGTCCAGTTCAAATAGTTCAACAAATTCCATGTAGACTCGCTGTATCTTGGGACTGATAAAGGTTGATACCTGGACTGCTTAAAGGGGAAAAATCTGAGCATGTGGTTTCCAGCATTCATTGGCTGGTGAGAATCAAAACCTCTCCTCATTTGCCCAAGGATCCTAATGTTTTTGCAGTAAATTTTTTTGGAAAAGGCAGAAAAATGCAGATACTTCACAGAGAATATAGATAGAAAAGAACAGCAGGATGGGGGGAAAATGTGGAAGTAGGTCAGATGCATTGCAGACAAAAAAAAGATCATTATGATTAGGAGAGATTAGGGAAGGCAAGAGCAAACAGCATCAAAGGAATCCAATTTATCAAGCCATTTAAACAAGACCATTCCTTGCAAGGCAAGTTCTCCATACTGTGCTCAGAGTTGGAGGAAAATGAGAGGAGGATGTCCCACACTGTGTGTTTAATTTAATATCTGGTCTTCTCTACAGCCAGCCATGGAGGACTGAAGAAACCTTTTTTATTGTCATGAGAATAAACACTGCAGAACACTTACCCACCTTCCTTGCTTGAGTTCTTTTAGATTTTTCATTTCTTAAGCTGCAATTCCTAGTTAGGTGTGTAGGTGAAGTATGTGGCCAGGGTAATGGCAGTGCTTGCTGGCAGCTCTCAGTCACTGCTTCAGCATCAGGTGCTTTACATGAAATAAGGTTGCATATCAAAAGCAATTTGTAAGGGTGAAGTTATTTCATCTGAGGATATTAGGAACTTGGCAATAACAAGTAGATTCGTTGCTTACTTTTTCGGCAACTAGGAGCCTGGGAAGTGTGACCAACATACAATGAAAGGACTTGGTGTCCTTTTTCTCCCTTTTTTTCCTGGTTTTGATGAGCTTATCACTCTCTACAACTTCCTGAAAGGTGGTTGTAGTCAGGTGGGGGTTGGTCTCTTTCACCAGGCAGCAACTAAGAGAACTAGAGAATGCAGTCTCAAGCTGTGTCAAGGGAAATATAGGTTGGATATTAGGAAAAAGTTTTTAACAGAAAGAGTGATAAAGAATGGTCCGCCCAGGGTGGTGGTGGAGTCACCATCCCTGGATGTGTTTAAGAGAAGACTGGATATGGCACTTGGTGTCATGATCTAGTTGAGGTGTTAGGGCATGGGTTGGACTCGATGATCTTGAAGGTCTCTTCCAACCTAGTAAAATAAAAAAATAATATTTTTTTTTTTAAAAAAACCCTGTCCCATGTACCATAACAGCAAGGAAATGGATTTTGGATGGGATTTACTTGCCTCTTTTGTATCGAGGCAGAAATGAATACTGAAAGCTTTAGCTCTGTAAAACAGAACATTCTGCTTCTCCAGCACAATGGAATTTTTTATGTACCAAACAGGCCTTAAAAGACAGGCAGTGCCTCTTAATTTGCAAGAGACCCACAGCTTTTTCTAAGACAGGTCCTTTGTGGTGTAAATTCTGTTGGAAGCTGAGAATCTGGGGCCTGTTTCTGCACAGCACAATTTTTGTTGAGGTAGAATAACTACATTTTCTTTTATTTCACCGAGCTGGAGTGCTCCTTGCATGTATTAAATGCTTGCTTGGGTCCTCTAGACAAAAAACACAACCTCTGAGCTGTTTGACAGAGCTCTGTCATGTCAAATGTTTCTTAGCTGGAGCAAGCAGTCTGAGAAATTTAAACAAGATGTGTACTTCTCTTAACAGCAGGTTAAATACTGACTGAATGTCTTCCCAAATATCTGACGGCTGCTGCCAGGGGCTGTGGGCTGGTGTGCAGCCTGAATCAAGCCCTGCAGAGCTGCTGACTTGAATCTGAGCATGGAGAAGGTTTGGCATCTTAGAAACTCAGCACCTTTTATGCCACTCATTAGTTTCCTATTCAGGAGGAATTGGGGTATGAAACAAGCTAAAAGTTTCAAGGGGTGGTTGCCTCTACAGCTGAAGCTACAGCTGAGGCATCCTCAGCCTTCTGATCTGAGAAGTCAGTTCTTTCCTGGTGCTTTTGCAGCAGTTTGGAGCAGTACAAGCCCAGACTTCGGTTAATACTTTTATTGCTGACTGGCTGACACATTATCATTCTGACAGTGTTGCCTATCAGGTCCAAGCACTGCCAGAACTCTGCTCTTTGTACAGCAGAAGGCTGAGCTTTGATGGAAATAACCTGATTATCCTTTGTTTAGGCAATAAAGTGAGTGTGTTGGGAAAATCTCACCCTAGTCTTGTTTTGGGTCTCTTCCAAAGTTTGGCATAAATGTTGAAGCAAGATATTTCTCTTTTCATCGTGATGAAACTCCAGATCTTGATGGTTTCATGCATGCTGAAGGCTTCCTTCAAGTCTTGCCACCACAGCTTTGACCAGTTTAAGTTGGTTTGGAGTTTCTGCCTTCAATAAAATGCTGGTAAATTACACCTGGAAAGATTTTAGTCACTTATTGCTGTGTGATTTTTGCCTGACACCAGCAGGTAACTCAATCTCAGCACTCTGTGGTCCAGCACCCTGTGAAATCTCAGATATGATATTGCAAGGTTTAGTATATTAAGTGCTGCTCTGGAGTGCTGGGGATTGATGCAGTCTTATGGTCTGTGGGCTCGGAAGGAAAAGGAGAGCAGCAGTTTCTTATAAATCAGCACACTAGAAATACATTTTAATGAAATAGTCGAGAGGAATAAAGGGAAATTAGGCCTTGCCACAACTGTCTGGATATTTGGACGCTGTTCCTAAACGCGTTACTAACTCCTGTGCCACCTGTAAGTGCTTTTAAACACCATGTGCTTGAGATTTCCCATTTACAAAAACACTGGCAATAGTGTAAGAGTTAATTAATGATGAAGAGCACTGCATTGCTTTGTGAGCTGCTGGCAAAAAAGGACAAGTCTTGCCATTATTATTATTAGTATTGTTCTGTCTTGAAGATGTCAGATTACATAAATCTAGGCAGATGCCTTAAAGCATTGGGTGCAGTGGAAAGCTCTCTAAAGGAACAAATTCCATATTTCTTTGTCTTGGACTAAAATATCATAATTGTACGTGAAGATAGGAAAGCTATTTCTGAAAAGGAGGTACAAAAGGGTAGGAAAGAAGCTAATACAGCACTAGAAAAAGAAGATATGGGAGACAACTTCATCCAAACCAATAGTGAAACATAAATTATTCCCAAACTGGCCTTTTGAGAGTATGCTATAAACATTTAGACATTAAGGGGCTGTGAGACAATGGCTGTTGTTCCCTGAATGCAAGTGTAATACTCTGAAGTCTGAGATATTAGCACTTACTGCTCTTCCTTTTTTAGCCTGTAAGTCTCAAAAGTGTTCTAAGCATCAGCTGGACACACAAACTCATTTGCCTTTTTCAGGTAATCTTGTCCAACTGCTCCATAAACTTTGTTTCAGAGGCTGGAAGCCTTGACTTGACTGTTTCTGTAGGAAATGTTTCTGTAGGAGGTCAGGGCTCCTGTGGGGATTCTACAGGGTACTTTTAACCTAATGTGAACATGAACAGAATTATACTGGTACGCATACATATACATATGCATATAACATATACATGTTGCTCTGTAATATTATGTGTTACCTATATACATTATCCTTTCCTTAATCCCACTTCAGGGCCTCATACAGAACTTTTTAGGCTCTTTCACTTCTGCCACCATTTGTGGCATTGCACTACAACAGCTGTGACAGATCTGCTGTATTTTGATGAAATTACTGGTACCAGAATCACCAGTAGTGCAGTTATTCCTTATACAGACGATTTAATTACAGCAGTGAGATGTTACAGGGTTAATTAATTGTTGCTTATTAAGTCCTTTGAGACCTTTGAATGAGAGATGCTACATATGTACAAAGGATGATTATTAGTTATTAACAACAATGCTCCCAGCTATTTGGAGGGTAAAAATTATTTAGTTTCATTATGAAATATTAAATTTGCACTCTAGTCAGATCC